TGTGCCATGGAGAGTTTCTTTTCTGGTCCTGTCTGTTTGGTGTTCTATATGCTTCTTGTATTTGTATGAGCATATCTTTCTTTAATTTTGGGAATTTTCTTCTACGATTCTGTTGAAGATCTGGTCCATGCCATTAGCTTGGGATTCTTCTCCTTGTATGCCTATGATTCGTAAGTTTGGTCTTTTTATGGTGTTACACAATTCCTGCATATTCCATTCTTGTGCTTTCTTAAATTTTTCATTATCTTTGCTTGAGTGGTCTAGTTCATCCACTTTATCTTGCAGTCTTGATATTCTGTTTTCTATTTCATTCATCCTATTGGTGAGGCTTTCTCCTGTCATGTCTAATTGGCTTACTGAGCGTTTCACTTCCTTCTTCATTTCATCCTGAGTAGCTTCAATATTTCTAGGTCTTTTCTGAATTCATTCAGAAGTTTATCCTTATCCTCCTTCAGTTGTTTGTGTTCTTTAAATTCACTGAATTCTTTTATCATGTTTATAATTGTTCTTTTGAGGTCCATGTCCTGTGCTATCTCTAGGGGGTTCTCATTATACTCCTCTAGAGGACTATTGGTACTTGGTGGGGATATATTATTTTGGTTTTTCGTGTTATTGTTTTTTCTCTGTGATTTTGCCATGTGAATTTCTTTTGTAGTTTCTGATTCTTGTGTGAGACTCAAGCCATCAAGTTCAGTCTGCTTCTTTTCATAAACTTTATGTGCCTTTGTGGCTTACCTTTTGGGCATGAAAAGCTGGTTCCTCTAAGCTTCCAGTTCTCTCTTTTGATTTTATATTGGAGTGGCCAGATTGCTTTTGTCTTCAGGAGTTTCCACAGAGGCCCAAGTCAGATGAGGATCAGATGCTCTCACGCTTTCTCCTGAGGTCTGGATCCCTTCAGGAAAGATGTTGTCCTTAGGAATTTGGGGGTTGGACTGGCCTGGGAGGAGGGCTGAGGAAAGATGCTGGTCTCAGGCAGCTGGTGGCTGTGCCACCCAGAGATGCAAAGGGGGATGGGGGCTGGAAGAGGCCCCAAGGGCTCCTGGGGACTGCAGGGAGGAACTGAGTTGGTCTGAATTCAAAGGATCAGGAAGCCGAGAGGTCAGCCCCAGTGTCCAGGAAAGAAGCTGGTGGGTTGTGCAGCCCAGGAAGCAGAGGGAGGTGAGGGTGGGATGGGGCCCAGAGGGCTCCTGGGGACCGGGAGAAAGAGCTGGGTTGGTCTTGATGCAAATGATCAGGAAGGAGTGGTGGTTCCCCCCATGTCTGGGGTGCCAAGACAAGGAATGGGACAACAGTACCTAGGCTAGGAGGAGAGATGGGTGGAGGAGATGGGAGGGTGAATGAGGCTGGGGGAGTCAAGGCACAGACGGCGCAATGGACTTACCCAGGAGAGAGGCTGGCAGATTGTGCAGGCCCAGGGAAGCAGAGGGAGGAGAGGGCTGGACCTACTCAAGTCTCTTATATAAAGTGGCCTAGTATTTGGTAATCTATACACATCCTCCCATATACTTTGTCATCTCTACATAAGTCATAATATCTAATACAATGGAAATACTGTGGGAATAGTACAGTGTACTTTTAAATATGCAGTTTTTATTTCATTTTCTTATAAATATTTTTGTTTTTGGACACCTCCAGTGCTAGGGTTAGAGGTATGTGCTACCATGCCCAGCTTTACCAAATGCTTTCAAAACCTGCAGACACAGACAGCCGACCACACGTTCATTTTGGTGACTTTGGGCAATGTCTGTCTCCCATACAAGAGTTTCATTTCCTGCCAGGCATGGTGGCACATGCTTTTAATCCCAGCACTCAGGAGGCAACGAGTTTCATTTCCTAATGGTCAAGGATTGTCTCCATTTTGCTCTCTGCTGTAGCCCCCATCAGTCAACACAAAAACTGGTAAATGGGAACATCCAGGTATTGATAATGTGAAGGAACAGGAAGAAACTGATATGACCAGAGGTAATCAAGACAAGAACCTCAATTTGTAGGCAGTCATAGAAGTGAAACAAGATATAGTTACTTTAACAGAAAAAAACAATACAATGGGATGAAAGGTACTGGGAAGGAGATAACACTGGCCAGACATGTGGTCTGACACAGAGGGGAAGTCAAAGACAACTAAATCTTCAAATCTGGGTCACTAATGGCTAGGTTTGTGGAGATATATTTATGTTGGTTTAGACACAGTGGATGGAAACAATCAAAGAACATCTAAAGAGTCTACAGCACTGTGTGTGGTGGTGCCCACCTGTCATCCCTGCCTTGGGAAGCAGAGGCAGTAGGATTCCATGAGGCCATTCTTGGCTACATAGTGAGATCCTGTCTTGAAAAATCAGTAATAATAATAATAATAATAATAATACAAAAAGTCATACTGTTTTTTTGTGGACCATACTCCACAAAAATCACATTAATAATTTTCAGACATGCTTGCTTATAGAACATACTCAATACCATTCCCTAATCATTAAGACAAGTAAATAGAAGGCAAGATTTAGTTTCTTTAGTTTATTAAAGATGAACATGAACTGGTGATGTGCAAGAATCACAGCAAGTGGAAACCAGTTCAAAGCACAAGTTGTACAAATGGAACATCTCTACTTAGACTTGTGCTCCTTTTGTTAATTCAACAAAAGTGCTAAAACTTTGGCAGAGAAAGTCAGTAACAGCCTCATTAAGTGGAATATGTTTATTCTACTCTTTTGCAGAATCTCAAATCTTGTCTCCACCTTATAAGCAAACTTTTTTCCCTTTATGTACATAAAAGAATACTTCTCTCCCATTCACTTAGAAGGAACTCTCTCAGTGCATGCAGAAGTGTCTCCCTCAGCAGCACCAAATTCTCAGACACTAAGTTACAAAGTGCTTTCAACCACATCCTCTCCTTCTGCCCTCTCTCCCCCACTCCCAAATAAATAAATAAATGGTACTTGGACAGTAATGACAGCACAGTGTTGGGGGCACTGAACGTATGTGATCTAAAGGGATGGGATTGGGGAAGAGAAGAAAAACAGTGAAAATCCAGGAGCACAGGAACTTGCCTAGTTCAGCTTTGTTCCTGCATTGACAGGAAACAGGTGGGGACACAGGAAAGTCTCTCCTCCAGTGTGGTGACTTGGAGTAAGCAGCTGTATTCGAAATTCAGGCAGACACTGAAAATGGAGCTCACCATTCTTACTGATGTGTGAATCTGAGTACTAACCCTTAGTGACGCTTGAGTTTTAAGGGCTCATTACTAAAATTCTTGAAGGATGGGAGGATTTCTAATCAGCCTTTCAAGGCTGGGCTTGGCCTTGGCTTTCAGAGCTTTACCATGAACTGAGAGCATGGCCCTAGACTTCCAGCCCAGCAGCCGTTGGCCCCAAGTGTGAGGTAGAGGAACCAACACCACGGGCCAATTCCCACATGCGCCCTCCAGCCCTGGGAGAGCTCTACTTTAGCTGTTGCCTTAATTCCCCCTTCACTCTCTGGGAGAACCCTTGTTGCTTCCAACTCAGGTACGTGTCAGCTTCCACCAACCATGTGCAACTTTCTGTTTGGCTGCTTGGGGCAGTGCCCAAAGCAACTTTTTTCTAATAGCAACCAATTATGGGAAGACAGGAATACAGGAAGAAGTCAGTTCCAGAAGAAAACACTGCGGGCCTTAGCTTACAGAGCTGCTAGGCCCTTGGAAATGTGGCGCTGACCAGAACTTTACACAGAGAGTAGGAGCTACAGTGATTTAAAGAACACTACAAACAAACACCTCATCCAACCCAAGAACTTCCCTCATTAAAATGCACATTAAATTATGGAGGAAGAGTATACTAAAATTAGTAAATATGAAATGGTGATTCAACATTTATTACCTAGGCTAGATAAAGAGTTAAGTGCATAAATGGCAGAAAGGCTCTTGTTACCCAAGAAAACAGGAACATTCACATTCACATTCACAAATCAACAAGTTCTCTAGTGCTACTTAATAGCGGGAAGGCTTCTCCCTCACTCTGAGAAAAGAAACTAAGGCAAGAGATCAGCCAATAGGAAAGATCCCAGCTCTGCTGGAGGAAGGGGACAGAGAATGGAGTTGGATCATAGCTCTACTCAGAGCCACAATGGCCATCTTAAAAGGCAGTAAAGGACCCACTAAGATAGTGTGTGGGGTTTTTACCCTCACCTTAGGCTGGCACCAGGGACTTGTGTGAGCCTGAAGGAGCATACCTGCACTCAAGCAGCCAGGTTAACTAAGAGATGGAACACCAAGGGGAGACCATCAGCTCCTCTATCTGAATAAATGCTCCTCAAGCAACAGCTGAAGCCTCACTTAGCTTGTGGTACAGGCTACAAATGGGCCTGGCCTAAGTAAGCCCAGTTCTTTGCCCCAAGTCCACAACGGTATGTAAGCCAGTTTATGACATCATCTATGCTGAGAATACTCGAAACAGGGAAGCCATGGCTGCCTCCTTGAGGTCTCTGAGGATTCTAGGACAATAATGATTCTGTTCTTACAGCTCCCCAAATACCAAAGTTGACTGACTGCCCATGATGTGGCCCATTCTCTCCTTTCTTCGGGTTACAGTATGACTCTCTTTCAGGATGGAGGCAGAGAAACTCCATTCCCATTTCAGCAGCAAAGAAGAGCATGGACTGAGAGGCCTGGCTCAGAAGCTCTGGAACTAAAAAAAAAAGTGGAAATGACACTTGAGCTGTAGCTACAACCAGATCTGGTCCTAGTGGAACAGGCCATGATGTCAGGAGAATTGGGTCTCGTTATGCATTCCCCTGACAAGAGGCACAAGAAGCTTTCTTTAAGGACCCATGTGTCAGCTCTGATGGAACTACCTGGTGCCTACACCTGTCACAACAGACTGGACCCATCAACCAATTAAGGCTGACTATACCTGGACAGCAGACAAGTCATAACAAAATGACGATAATTTTTTTAAAAGGCCCCAGGTAGGGAAAGTCCTTGAAAGGGTGGCTCAGCTCTGCAACTTGTGTGACCCTTGCCCCTCAGACAAAGGGCTTAATGTGCATTGTTCAGGTGGCCTCCAGGACGGCAGCTTCCAGAACCAGGGCTTGAGTGGGTTCCTCCTCATAGTCTGACATGTACGACTCCAGGCTCTGCTTAGCCAGCAACTCCCGCCTGGCCTGTAGCCGCTCACAGCGGGGGCAGCTTCCAGACTTGAAGCAAGCTTTGTGGTAACACGCTTTACACTCTATTCAGATTGAGAAGGTGAGAGAGAAGAAAACAGTTTGTGTTAGTTCAGGCTGGAAGCAAGTCACCACCACAGCCCCTTCTCACCTCAGCTTGGTGCTCTGGTAGAATGGGGAGCCACCCAGTTAAGCCAAACTCTTGCTAATAGTTGGCTCTCAGGCAATAAATCAACTTAGTGTTCAGCCTTGATGGCCTCACTGCCAGTGCCCATCCTCACCTTCACAGGTTCGGCACTTATGTAGCTCAAAGGGAAAGATGATGTCATCCTCATTCTGGCAGAACTCACAGATGAAGCCTTTGGCCTGACACAGCTGGAGAGGAGAGAGAGGGTAGCAAAGTGAGGGACTGACACAGGAGGCGGCACTCCAGTAGGGGCAGGTACAACATCAATAAAACTGCACAGGATGGAGGGACCCACTGCCCACAGGGAAGAGACTAGGGCTGGACTTAGAAAAAGCCAAACTCAGGACAGCCCTAGACAATGCTAGACAAAGCTTAAGGGTAAGGAGGCAAGAGGCATAGGCTTGAGATGCCCTTACCCCTGGAGCAGCTCTCGAGGACAAGAAAAGGAGGAAGAAATGGTAGTGCTAAGGGCTTCCTAAATTCAATACTCTGATCTGGTAATAGCTTTATTTTGAAACAGAACTACTACTAATTAAGATAAAATGTGAAGACAAGGATGTTTCCTCAAAATAATACCTAGCCTCTACAGTCAAGTTACAGTGCAGTGGTATGCTCCCCTGACCCCTGGAGCACAAACTGGGCAGTTGTGATGGTAGCTCTCAAACTGTAATTTCTGAGTTTCTAGCATATTGATCATATCATAAAAGATAATAACTTGCATTTGCAGAACAGAGTTTACAAAATGCTACCAAATAAACCATTTCATCAGTCCTCAGAAATACAAGAAGAAAGTATGATGTATATAATTATTGTCTTCATTTCAGAAAGAAGAAAACAGGTTTACCTAGAGAGAGCAAGTTGTTTTTTTGGGTCACAGTGATTAAAATAATAAACTGTCTCTAGATTTCTAATCAAAGGTTTTCTTCCCAAGTGCAGTTTTTTGCAGGTTTTTTTTTTTTTTTTTGGTCTTTTTGAGACAGGGTCTCCCTGTAACCCTAGCTGGCCTGGAACTTGCCATATAGATGGGGCTGGCCTTGAACTCACAGAGATCCGCCTGCCTCTGCCTCCTGAGTCCTGGGATTAAAGGCATGTGTACCACCCCACCCAGCTAAATTAAAATCTATTCTCCCTCATTGTTTTTGTTTTTTGAGACAGGGTCTCCCTGCAAGTGCAGCTGGCCTGGAACTCTATGTAGACCAGGCTGGTCTCAATCCACAGAGATCTGCCTGTCTCTGGCTCCTGAGTGCTGGGATTAAAGGCATGTGCCACCATGCCTGGCCCACAGTTCTTTTTTTTTTTTTTAATATTTATTATTTTTATTTTATGTGTATGAGTGCTTGTCTACATGTATGTAGGTACACCTGTGTTGTGCAATACTCATGAAAGTCAGAAAAGGGTATGGGATCCCCTGGAACTGGAGTTATAGACAGTTGTTAGCTGCCGTGTGGGTGCTGGGTATTGAACCTGGGTCTTTTGCAAGAGCAGCCAATGCTCCTAACCACTGAGCCATCTCTACAGCCCCCAAGAGCAGTTTTTTAAATTATTTTTAATTGATGTGTGTGAGTGTTTTGTCCGCATGGAAGTGTACCATCTCATGCAATGCCTGCAGAGGTCAGAAGAGGGCACTGGATCCCCTGCAACTGGAGTTACAGATGGTCGTTAGCCACCGTGTGGGTGCTGGGATTGAACCTGGGTCCTCTGTAAGAGCAGTCAGTGCTCTTAACCACTGAGCCATCTCTCGAGCACCACAAGTGCAGTTCCTTTTTTGTATGTTTGTTCATTTTGAGACAGGGTCTCTGGGTAGCCCCAGCTGACCTGGAACTTACTACATAGACCAGGCAGGCCTTGAACTCACAAGGCTTCGATCCACCTGCCTCTGCCTCCCAAGTGCTGGGACTAAAGGCATGTGCCACCACGCCTGGCACAAGTGCAGTTCTTAAGTGAAGGCTACTCACTCTTGCCTGGGGACAATGCCAGCACCAACTCCTGTTTTAATTCTTTTTATACTTTTGTTTATTGAGACAAGAAGCCCAAGCTGATCTTGAACCATGAGCCTCCTGACTCTATTGTTCACTAACTTAGGGAACAGCATGCCTTCCCAGTTTCTCCAGTGTCAACTGGCTATTTCAACTTTCTGGAGCTAAATGGCAAGAACCCTGGGTCCACTACTCCTCTGCCCCTAAGCAAGGGCTCAGCTGCATGGTAGAAGACTTCCTTACCACACATCGCTCTACATGGGCAGCTCCTGCTCTGGTAAGCTCCACCAGCCGGGGTCCCAGCTCCCCCTTCTTGGTTGCAGTCAGGTCGTTCAGTGAGTACAGGTGGAGATCCTCTGTCAGATGGCCTGGAACTGTGTCAAAGGAATCTAAAAGCCTATGGGGAATTGAGAGAAAGTGCAACGGAGAGGAAATGAACATCTCATATGGCACATGATGGCACAAAAACCCTTACCCAGCAGGACAGAGAAGGCAATGGGGGTGGGCAACATTCAGCCGGCCCAGGAGTTCCAGGCCACCCCTACCTTCAACACTATCACGTGTCTGAATGACAGAAGTGCTTATCTATAAATCCTGCAGAGTGAACTTAAAAGGAGTGGGGTCGGGCTCTGGGAAAATAAGCACAGATATCCCCTCTAGAGAAGACGCACACATCACTGCCATGGCTTCTTGGTTACTAGTTCAGACACTGCTTCAAAATCCTCCTATTCTCCTTCCCATAAGAGCCAACTGCTGAAATATGCCCCTTTCAGAAGCAGCTCAGCCGATGACTCTGGCTTCCACATCAGACTTACTCTTTAGCCAGTCGGCATGTCTTGAACATGTTCTTCATGTGATACAGCTGAACCCGCAGCAGCTAAAGAGAAAGACATTGGGTGGAGAAGAGGAGAGAATGGGCTGTTGGCAGGGCTAGTCAGTGACTTCAAACCCCTGAGTCCCAGAAGCTTCTCCATAGCAGTAACTGACTGGCTGCCCTTTCATGGCTAACTCAACGACTCACTTCAAAGAGCTCTTTAGTCAGGGAGGGCCCTCTGTCAGATCAGTACACTCATTCAGACACACAGCCAGCAGCAGCTGAGAACTCTGGAATGCAAATTCCCAGCGCTATTCTCTCCTCAGTAATACTTTCAGTGAATGGAGAAATTGTTTTTGGCCCCAAGTGCTGTCTACAGCCTTAGAGCTCTGTTACCAGGTTTGAGATTTTGACTGGATGAGTACTTGGAAAACGTGGCAAGATCAAGAAAGTACCTATAACTGGGTGTGGTGGCAGATGCCTTTAATGCTAGTACTATGAAGGCAGAGACAGGAGGACCTCTGTGAGTTTGTTGCCAGCCTGGTCTAAATCACAAGTTCTAGGCCAGCCAAGGCTACATAGTGAGATTCTAGCTTAAAAAAATAAGTGAAGGCAACAAGAAAATTTGTAGGAGGCTAGGATGTAGCTAGCTTATTGGTAGAGTGCTTGCCTAGCATTTTGAGTTTAATTCTGGGTTTAATCCCCAGCTCTGGAAAAAACAAAAAGAAAGTCAAGAACATGAATGATTGTGATAGCAGGTGTGGTGATTCTAGGAAACTATGAACAGAGACGGGGCCTTGGGAGGAGAGGGTAAAAATCCGTGACATGGTTTTTCAGGGTCTTACCCGGACTTGATTGAGCAGCTTGACTTTCCTATAGAGGGCGCTATTGATGTCCTGCACATTAAAGAGAGGATCATTCCAGATTTTAATGAGCAGGTCTTTGGAAAAATTGCTGATGTAGTACTTGCTGAAGTCCCACTTGCGCAGAATCCGGCTGGGAATGACCATCTGGGCATTCTCGTGGCAGCACTGACAGAAGTATTTGCCCAAGTACTCACAGTACCTCAGTCGCTTGATATAATCTGGAAAACCCAGAAAACCAAAAAGGCCAGATATGACTTTCCCACCTATAACCTGGTCAAGTAGCTCTGCTGAGCCTTCAAAAGGTAGGAAGGGAGGGCCAAGTGGTTTTTAGCAACTTCCGGGAGGTCTCTAATGCCAGAGAACTCACATAATGGGGCCTATGGTGCCTACAGCCTATCATGGCTGCCGAAGAAACCAAACCTGCCAGAGCTGATGAGACCCCCGTCTCTAAGAACCTAGCTGCAAGGTGCCAGTTTTCTCTAGGACACAATCTGGTAATGTTCCTTGTCCTCCCCTTCTCCAGGCCCTTCTTTCTTCCCCCATGTCTGCGCTATCACCTTCTCTTACTACCTCTGACAGGTCGAGGAGAGGACAAAATTCCTGGAGTCAGTATGGTGCCAGGGGAACTTACCGGGCTCAGTCCGGATACCACATCCTGCACAGCGGTAATTCTGCTTGGCCACAGCGATCTTCCTCCTACAGAAAGGAGAAGCAGCTGCGTGGGGCCTTGTTAAGGATGGGAAGAGTTGGGAATTCAACTTCTTTTAAAGGTTGGACTAAATGAGAACCCAGTGGGAGAGCTCATTCAAACTGCGGATTCACAAGCTTAGGATTCACAAGGTTATGTCATGGCAGTGACTGTCCTCAATATAGATCACATTTTCTGTACAAAGGTAAGGAATGAGAAGTGGTAAAGAGGGAAGAATAGGAGAGCGTAGCATTCATCTTGAAAGGACAAAAACCTAGCTAGCCTATAAAGTATTGGGAGGAAGGCACCATGCTGATTTAGAAAAAGGATGGGGGGAGTTCTTTCCAGGTAGGTCTGGAAAGAACTGAAGGGTTAAAAGAATTTAAAGACAAAAGTGAACCATCACGTTCTCTGCCTTTAGATGCACAGAATCCTGTGGAAAACACGACTGGAAGCAGAGACAAGAGGGTGAGAAGACAGCTCTGACAATCCAGAGGACGCAACCACCTGCCAAAGGGCATAAGCACTGGCTACTCACGTTGGGGCTGGATGGACATTAAAGATTATCTGAGGCCGGGGTGGGGCCCACTCCAGGTTGCCGCGAACACGAATACGCAGCTTGTAGATGTCTGCGTGCTGCCCGTCATCTGGTGAGATGGGCAGTGAGTCGGGGATAGGCAGGAGCTGCAGCGGGAAAGCACAGGTGAGCTAAGATGGACAGTCTGGGGAGCACATGCACTTGGCTCTCCTGACCATGACAAGCAGAGCTGATGGAACGCATTTCAGAATTGCACAGGCTAAGGGCTTCAGGGAGCCCTGACCTCAAAACAAACTAGTTGCAAGGACCTTGAGTTCCAAGAAGCAAATGGAAACAGCATTCCATTGCTGTTGCTGCCCCAGCACACATCTCGGAACCTGTGGTATGCCAGCATGCTTCATGCCTTAAAGATTCAATTGTGGAGCAAAGGAAAGTTTCAACAATCCACTTTCACATAGTGTCTCAAAGCAGGCCACAAAACCCGAGTTCTTCCTCTGCATCTTATGTGATCATAAGCAGTTATGTGATCCTCTGCGTCTACTACTGAGCAGTTATGTGAAAGAGGGCAGTGACAAAGCATCATATTGTACTGTGGGAACTGCTAGGGAAAATCTAGGCAGTTAAGCATTCACTCAGCCATTCATTCACTCACTCACTCACTCACTCACTCACTCACTCAGCACATTTGTAATGAACAGCTTTCATTAATAAGGAAAGAAACAGGCTCGTTTCAGACTGTGGCCACACGGGAGACGGAAACAAGATGAGAAAGCTTCCCCCACTCCTGGAAGGGAAGCATACTGAAGAGCCTACCTTCTGCGGGGCATCATGCTCTGCGACTAGCCATTCTAGCTCCGAGGCAGCAGGAAGCTGCATCCCCTCGAACTGCTTCAGGAGCCCCATAGCCACTGCCTCAGCAGATGTGGAGTGCAGGAAGCAATGGGAGCTGGAAAGAAGAGAATCAAGAGAGCTGAGTGCCAGGAAAAGCCAGCAAGATCAGCCTCCCTTCAGGATCTGAGGTCACATGCAAGAACCAGGAACATGGCTGGGGAAACACTGTGGCACTAGTAGTGTGCTCTTATCATCAGAAACACATGCTCAGTGCAAAAAAACTGTTCTTATGGTCCTAAGACTTGGGTTCAAATCCCATTTACCAGTATTAAGTGGTACTGCAGTTTTATGGGCTCTGTAATTTCCTTTCTCTAAAGTTGTTTCTTTAATTGCAAAATGGAGACTATAATGCCTGTCTACAAAATAAAGTCAGTAAAACTGCTATCATACCTCTCAGAGAAGCTAGTTTAGACCAAAGATCTACCCTTTCTTCCCTTGAGTGGCCATCATTAGGCAAGCCCATCATGTGATGCCTCCTCTTCCTGAAATGGGATGGCTTCCCCTGGCCTTTCTAAACCATTGGTCAAGAAATGGATTTGTTTCTCCCTATATTCCAAGGTTATTAAAAAGAAGGAAAAAAATACTCACAAGTTTTGCGAGATGGACGATTTGCCATTTGACGTTGCACTCCTCCTGATGTCGGCATCTAAATGGAAACCAGAGATAAAGGGAGAAGGAAACAGCAAAGGCAGAAGGAAAGGAGACCATCAGGAGGTGTTGCCAGCTAAGCACTTAAGGTGGCAGCTAGGTGTAACATTCTACGTAGGCTAAGGAGGCGAAGCTCTCAACACCACAATCAGGCTCTAAGTCACAACCAGGCTGAATCAGTGATATTATGCAGAGTACTAAGAAGGTCAAAGCAGTTACAAATCCAGGGATAACACAAACTCAGAATTTGGTGTAAAACAGTGAATGAGAAAAGGATGCATCAGAAAGCACACGGGGGTGGGGGAGGGGCAACAGCACCACTGCAGGAGCAGACACACAGTAAGGACTTGGGGTTCTGCTTCATTCTCCAAATCTCAAGCTTCCTTAAATGAGTTCCTAGATCTGAGTGTGGTAGCTCACTCACACCTGTAATTCCAGCACTTGAGACTCTGAGGGAGAGCATTATATGTTAAGAGGGCAGCCCAGGCTATACAGACTGTGTCTCAAAAAAACAAAAAAACAACCCCCCCCTAAAAAAACTGTCTGGCTTTTAAAAATGATAGAATTATTACCTAAAAAAAAAAAAAAAAACTTAGATCACAGAAGTTACTTATTAAGTATCTGTGGAAATGGACATTTACTTCTAACTTGTCACCACTACCCCTGAATGCTAGAAATTTTTTGTATTCTAAGAATACTAAGTTTCATGGGAAGATTTTGTTCCTGTCTGGTAGTTCAAGAACTTCAGGATAGCCTGACCACTACCTAGAGATGCTTTGTAACCAGCTTTCCAGAGAGACTGTCAACAAAACCATCACTAAAGAAATCTCATGCGACAAGACTTTCCACAGCCTATTTCAACAGATAGGCCTGAACTTCCAGAGACCTTTAACCCAAATACTTTAGATGGGGCTGTGTGTGAAATACAGAAGTCATTCTAAAAAGGTAGGTAGGACCTAACCAAGTCATTGAAAGACTGTTTTGATCATATCATCTCTTCCTCTGATGTTCAGTGAAAGAACCTTTTCCCTTAATTAAGCCTATATAAGCGAGTCTCCTGTGACTGAGCTCCTCAAGAGAGCACTGTATGACATCATTCTGCACTTGGCTACAAGCAGCTCAATTGTTCATGTTTCCACCACATACAGATTTTTGTATACACAACTAGATTACAAAACATCTCTGTGAGGAAATGAAATGGTGTCTAATTCTTCTTTGGGACTTATAAAGTTTAATACAGAGTTCTAGATACAAGCATAAATTCAAACAATATCATCCTCAAACTAATGACTTCAAAGCTATATACAGTTTTCAATTTGTTTTCGTACGCTTTTTTGGCAGTGTGAGGGCTCAAACCCAGGGCTTGATGCATGCTAATCAGGTGCTCTACTACTGAGCTGCACATCCCCAGCCCTCATATACTTTTAAAGCTCATAGAAACAAAACACCAACCAATTTTTGCTGGTATTTACAAAAGACTATTTTATTTAACAGCAAAGCTGTTCATCTACATCGTATTTTCTGTCTGAACTTTGTGTCCCCTAAATCCAGTCCCAAGGTAGTGCCAGTTGCCAAGTTTCAACAGCACTAGTGCTGGAAAAAAGAATGAAAGTGTCTAGGCAGCAGTAGACCAGACTTTCATGTTCCATGTTTGCAATATTTATCTAGTGTCACAAATACTGCTTGGGATCAAACATAAATCTTGTCTAAATAGTACTCAGAATGTTCTGTACACAACAGGTTTTCAGAAAATATTTCCTAAGTGGACGATTAATTGGCTAAAATCAATTAAAAACTTTCTGCAAATTCCACCTTGTTTTGGAGAAATAGGGGAAAATGAAAGAAAACCTTAGACATCTTTGAAGGAGTTAACAATGTCAATACCAGGCTATTAGAGAAAGGGCAAAGTCAGGGTATTTGTGCACTACACGTTACAGAAGAGGTAGCTGATAGTAGTTAAGGAAACTATTGTTTTCATAAAATTATAATCGTTTCTGTCAGTAGAGGACCATATATATTCTAGTGATCCCCTAAGATTATATCATTTAAGTGGCACAGAAGCCATCTTAGTGAGTGCATTATATGATGCTCACACAGAAACACCTAAAAGCACATTTCTCAGGATATACCCTTGTATTTAAAATATTTCATTCTCACATGTCTTTCCCTTTGAGGAAAAGAAAAATATTCCCTTTTCTTTAGAACCTAAAATCAAGTCAGACTTTATCTTATTTATTGCTCTTTTTCACCAGAGGTACAGAAAGGTCAGAGGTCTGTGGCAGGAGCTTTTTGGCTAGTTGTGAATCTTGCTGAGAGTGTGGGGGACTGCGCAGGCTTGGGTCAGGATCCTGGGCAGAGGCTGAGGCAGCTGGCACCTGACACTCACAAACATCCTGACCTTACTGTATCTGTGTTGCATCCTGCTGACCCTCGTTAGTTCAAGCAGATGAGTAAACAGACATGGGTGGAACACTACCCGGATAAAAGTAGATCAATGTCTAAAACACATGAGGAAAGACAAAAGCAGGGGAAGAAATTCAACTGTCTGGATTGACCATAGCCCCGAATAAGAGCACTTGGGAAGGAAGTCCGAGACACTCACCTTCCAGTACAGTTTAACACAATTACGAAGTGTTTTATTGAGCTTCTGTATAAAAAGATGTATTTTTCAAACATATTTTTCTAAGAGAATTTGAAGTGCTTCCGTTGCTATACATAGAATAAAGCAATTGTTACCAACTGGGAAGAGTTAAAACTGGACTGATGAGATGGCAGAGTGGGTGAAGGTACCCGCTGCCAAGGCTGAGGACCTGACTCTGTGTCTGGGATCCACATAGCTGTCCTCAGACTTCCATGTGCGAGCCAGGGCATGTGTTCACCCACACGCATAGCTGCTAACTCAAAAACAGGTTGCTGGAGGGTTTTCCGCTGCAGTCAGTGTGCTCCTCTCTAAGTTGACTGCCTGCTGCACCTCATGCTCTCTAGGGACGTATGCTTGGGGCAATGCAGCAGCAGAGTGCCATTAGTGCTCCTCTCACAGATATTCCCCTCAGCACACCTTGGGAGAGTTTTACATAGTGAGTGCCAGAGGCCTCGCACACAAGGACAGCTTCCCACTGAGGGCTACTGGCACGGCACACCCCTATGGACGGCCTTCCATGATGCTACCTCAAGGCAGCTCTGCAGCTTCAGAGAGCATTTCTTCCAGGCAGTGTGAACATCAGGTCTGGGGATGTGGCACCAGATGCTCTATCCCAGCCTTTGGGCCAGTGGTGTCATCTACATATGCCTTCATGCATTCTATACAGTCCTCTTTACTCCTTCTGAGCTAATCCTTATTACTTCACCCCCCTATTACAGTTAATAATTTTTTTTTTGAGACAGGGTCTCACTATGTAGCTCTTGCCAGCCTGGAACTCACTATATGTAGACAGTTGGCCTCAAATTCAGAGCTCTAACTGCCCCTGCTTCCTGAGCACTGGGATTAAAGGCATGCACAACTATGTCTAATTCCAGTTAATAATTCTTTTTTTGGGGGGAAGGGGTCTCACTATGTAGCCCTGCTGGCCAGGAACTCGTTATGTATGCCAGGCTGGCCTCAGTCTCACAGAGATCCACCTGCCTCAGCCTTTGAGTGCTGAGATTAAAAGTGTGCACCACTACACCCAGCTAATGATTCTTTTTAAAAATTACATTTTATTGGGGCTGGAGAGATGGCTCAGCAGTTAAGAACACTAGTTGTTCTTGCAGAAGACCTGGGTTCGAATCCCAGTACCCACATGGCAGCTAACAACTGTCTGTAACTCCAGTTCCAGCGGATCTGACAGCCTCTTCTGTCTTCTGCGGGCATTGCATGACATGGATGCACTTACCTACATGCAGGCAATACATGCATACACATAAAATAAAAATGATGAAAAAATGTTTTAAAATTACATTTTATTGTTTATTGTGTGTAGGGCAAGATGAGTGTTGGTTTTCTCCTCCATCATGTGAGTTCTAGCAGTTGAACTCAGATTCTCATGCTTAGTGGCAAGTGCCTTTACCCTCTGAGCTATCTTGCTGGACCCCAGTTAATAACTGCTAACATTGAAACTTCCCTATTCCAAATGGCTGTAAAATATTCTGTCTCTTAATTGTACTGATAGACACATGTATGCAGGGTATTGAAACTAGAAAAATCTACAGAGAGAAAAAGAATTCATGAAGCTCTAACAGAAGAAGATGGGGGGAGGATAGGAACAATAGACTCCTAAAATCCAAAGTGAAAATAATATCTGGAGTTGAGAGGTTATGACTGATACCAAACCAACCTGGCAGACACCAGCAGAAAGGAAAAAGAAAAAGAAAAAGAAAGCCAGGCACAAAGATCATGGATCATATAGCAGATGATTCCATTTATATGAAATGTGCAGAAAGGGCACATCTATAGAGTTGACAGGCTGGAGAGAAGAACAGATCGTAACTGCAAAGAGGTACAAGAGCTCTTATTGGGGGTAATGAAAACGCTCTAAAACTAGAATATGGTGATGGTTATACAGCTTGGCAAATTTATCAGATATCACTGAGTTTTACCCTTGAAGTGAGTGAATTCTGGTATGTACATTATACTTCACATAAGCTATATTTTAAAGAAATGGATGCTGATGGATAAAAAGATCTTTATGAATAGACTATAAACTTAAGGTTATATTCACTTTATTGTTGGAAGAAGTAACTTTCAAATCTGATTTCAAAAATAAACTCTTTCCCAAAGTTGGTTTCGGTCATGGTATTTTATTACAGCAATAAAAGTAAAAAATCCAGTGACTCAAATGAAACATGTCTGAAAAACTTAGGTTGCTAATGAAAAGTAAAATGATACCTTTTTTTGGTTTTGGCCTCAATCTCACAGAGATTCACCTGCCTCTGCCTCCCCACTCCTGAGCGCTGTGATTAAAGGCATGTACCATTACACATGGCAAAATGATACTTTTTTTTCTTTTGGTCTTTTTGAGA